TTGAAAAATCCATCATGTTTTTTGGCCTATTCTTACTACATTTAACTGATCCATTTCTCGTATATAATAAATTTAGCGTAAAAACCTACGAATTTTGATTCATACGATCGCAAGGCGTGCCTTTTGATGCTCTCGACAGTGTAATTTCTTTTCGAGATTCGTTCGAGGAAAAGATCTTACTTTCCACACAGGGAAACGAAAGCTTCGTTTAAGCGAGAAAATACTACTAGTCTCTTATCGTATAATTATCAGGGAAGATAAAAGTTCAAAGTAGAGATTAACGTTCTAACGAGAAAAACTTTATTTTTACTACGCATAAAAGAAGAATCTTAGCGGTGCATGTTTAGGAAGACTTGTTTTTTTATTTCCTCCGTTTCTTGGGAAAATTTCAACGATGATTTGCCACGTAAAAATATTCTAGAATAGGAGAGGGTGCGCATATCTACGTAGAGCGAGATATTTACGTATTTCTTTCGTTTCTTTTCGATTCGTATCAATCGTGTGGTTTGCGGAGCCTGTGTTCTGTGAAGATTTTCAAATGACAACGATTATATGTGACACATCGGCTACATCGCTTATCTGAGTGCTAGAGCGATCGTGGAATGATTGGAGGACGATTCTTCTGGAAAGTGTGTTCGAAGGTGTATGATCGGTCATGTTAATAGATCAACGGAGAATTTAATTGCGCAATGAAAAGAGGGAAAGAATAAAAGTATATAAAAAAAAAAAAAAAAAAAAAAAAGGAAAGATTAATGTTAACAAGTTTCAACGGTCATATAAACAAATTCATTAGCTTTTCATATTTTTCGCGTTGATATCTTCTTGTATCCCGCGTTATCTATTGGAACGTGAATATTTCTATAAATATGTGTCAGCCTTCTCCTCCAATCGTTAATATGGCTGGTCGTACTCTGTCACTGTGCATACGAGAAATGATTATACGAATCGCCAAGCGACAGTGCCATACGATTAATTGAACGAGAGAAATCATTTCGATTACTAACATCACGATTTTCATCGTTCTGAGAGAAAAAGAAAGAAAAAAAAAAAAAAAAAAAAAAAAAAAAAAAAAAA